GTCGGTCGCCGGCGCCATCTGCTCCGCCTAGGACCTCTGGATCCTGCCCGTCGCTCTGGCTCATCGGCTCTCTGTCTCCTCCTCGGGCTCCTCCACCACCTACTCCGCCGCCGTTGGTCGGCCCCCTGGAGTCGGCGGCCATTCCTCCTCCATGGCTCCTCCCTCCGTCAGCTCCACCGTGGGCCACCGTTATGGCTGTGGCCTGGGTCCAGCTTGGCTTCTCCTGCTCCAAGCCCCTCTTGTCTCCTCCCTCCTTCATCACCTCCCTGGTCTCTGTCTGCCGGTCCTCTCTCGGGTGTCCGTCCTCCTCCTGAGCCTCATCCCAAGTTCCCACCCATCTCTCCCTCTGTTGTATCTACGATGCGAGGACGCACCTTCCGGGAGGGGGTGAAATGTCAGACTTTTGGACCCGTTTTGCCCCCCTTGTTCTTCCTGTGTTTCCTTATATGGTCTTTTTCCTGTTCTTGTTTAGTTTGATTGCCTTGTGATTCCTTGCACCTGAGTTCCTTATTATCCTGTGTATATTAGTTCCTGTCTGTTCCTTAGTTCTTCGTCGGGTCTACTCGTTGTGAACGTCATCCTTGTGCTCTGTGTCTCCCTATTGAATCATTAAAGACTCCTTGTTTTTGTGAAATCTCCACGTCTCCTCGTTCCCTTGCTCCAGCGAATCGTGACAGATATACTGTAAACGGAATACACAATGCATTCGCTATGCATTCGAGTGTCATGTTAACGTGCAGATTAACAAGAGAAACAACACTACTTTGTGAAAGGAACTGGACCGGACAACTTTCTGTAACGTCATACAGTGCGAGTTCAGTAATTTGCCTGGATGTAATCTGTGTGTCATATAAAGGTTTTAGATTCAGTCACTGTGTTCCATCAAAGGTGCTGCTTCAGTCTCAATTTTAAATCCAGGGATGGAAAAATAGGAATCGTCCTATTGCTTTTAAAATGTATATAATGCTGTATATGTATATGTGTGTGTGTGTATAATATATATATATATATATATATATATATATATTTATACACCTTGCTACATGTACTGCGTTAGGCTAACCGAGACTTGTCATTTGCACTTATATATTGTTGCTCTTTTGTTAGTTTTGACTACTTTTATTGTCCTCATTTGTAAGTCGCTTTGGATAAAAGCGTCTGCTAAATGACTAAAAATTTTATCATTAAACTTTATACGGCTGTGATTTAATTAATTAAACGTGAGCACGGCATGTTTTAAAATAAAAACGCAGTTAGCAATCACCAAACAGCCCACATTTATGCCAACATGTTGTGTTGTTTCGTTGTACTGATGATGAATAATGAATATTTTGTGTGATTTTATGGTCTTTAAATCATACCCGTAAACTCACATTTCAGCCAGGACAGTTTTGATGGCATTTTCTTTTCATATTACCTCCGTATTAAGCCTGTAATAACGTAGTGTTTACTTTATGTAACGCTATAATTCTGCTGTTATTAAAGCAGAGCAAAGAGTGAATTTGCATATTCACTTATATTCACATTTTACGCAGAACAGTGTTGTGAATTAACTGGCATATTAACAAGAAAAAAAAAATCGAAATTTGACATAAATAATTGTCAGGAAGCTTAAAAAAGAAAAAGAAAAAAAAAAGTTTTCTAGGGTAGGGGGGCCTACCATAATGCTGTAGCCCAGGGGCCTCTGGTTATCATAAAGCACCCCTGCCTACCCCTAACACTTTTTGACCTTAAGAGCTCTTTTAAGGGTTAAGATGCTTAAAGAATAACTTTTATCTTTACTAGGATCTTCTCTTTAATTCTATGGGAAAACACCCAATTTTCTAAGAATTTTCTTAGAATTTTGCCACTAGGAGCAACTCTTTGCACTAAGAATTTTCACATTATGCTACATGATGTTTTTTTTTTCTAGGCACATATACACCAAACCCAGTCAGTTTACTCACAGCTCACACTCATCATCACACCTGCCTTCCTCACCAGGACTCCACCAGTTTGACGGATGGCTGGCTCTGAAGATTGGCGGGCAACAAGGTGACTTCCCTCATCGTATTGGCCAACCTCACTGCCAGTTCTTTCCGCAGAAACATGTAGGAGGTTTTTTCACATGCATTTTCCCTGCCTGGTTAAACAAGAGGCAAGAACAAGTTATTCTTTGTTTTCCGATGATGCGCCTGTTGAGTCTCTGTATGCATGAATGTGCACTTCTACAGCAGAATTACAACTATTGTACAGTATACTGCAAAAGATTAGAAAGACATAAAGAAGTCATTATAAATAATCAGCAAATAGATAATGACCATGGGTTACAATAATCAATCAAGGGCACTAAAAAGGAATGTTACACCTCAAATATCATATATATTATACACACTACCAGCCAAAACTATTATTATTATTTTCCATATTTTAGAATAATAATGAAGTCATTAACAGTGAAATAACACAAATGGGGAATTATGTAGTGACAACAAAATCCTAATGTAACAGCTATGCACACACTAGCCATTCATAAAAAATAAATAAGTGTAAGATTTTTATTTACTAGGTAATTCAGGTTATATTTTCTGTCCTTCCAAACTTTTGATTGGTACTTTATTTGGACATTATGCATAACAGAACCACACATGGGACTCTTTTGAGTTATGAGTTGTGTAATAATGCATTTATTAATACCAAAAGCACTTTTTATCCTTTGCAAAATTGGACCAAGTTCATGAAGTTATGACACAGGGTGATATGTAATGGAGAGTCTATTTTTATTCAGGCAGTGCAATGCCAACAGAGCTTTAGCTTTCACTTGACCTTAACGATAAAGGTTAATATACAGTATAAATATAGACAACATGTTGATTTAATCACGGGGAATATGTGGTGAGATTAAAAACAAAATCAAAAATCATCATAAGACACAGTAGAAATCACTGAAGGCAGGTTCAGCACGAGACAATCGTACTTTTAAAAAATACCATCTGTTGCATCAGTAGCGGTTCTTTAACTCAGTGCTCTGCGTTTATCTCAATATTTCATCACTCACCAAAATCCAGAAATTGCTTGATTGACACCGGTGATGGCGAGAACCTTGAATAATATTCGATTTTTTGCCTGACATCTTTCAGTAAGTAGTGAAACAGTTTCATGATTAGAAAACAAGTCTATCAACTACCATACAGCTCGAGTACAGCGCTCACTCCCGACCTGATGTGGACTGAAAGTCGTATTTCACTCATTCAACACTTTACGATCCATTTCGTTTCTATAGCGACAGCGTTGTTGTGGCGCTTGTTATCACGCAGAATCGTGTGATCCTCATCACGTGACATGACAGCGTGTGCTATCACTTGTAGGGTTGATTACACTGGCTGCTAATTGGGGATGGAATGTAATATACTGTATTTATACTGCTTTAAGCTTCTATTTTGAGCAAACTGTTATACTAGGTTCAATAGACCAATTATACCCTTACCAAAAAGTAGTATACTTCAAGTTTATTTTAGTAAGTATACTTAAGTAAAGTTCAAGTATATTTTTAAGTATAATCTCTTTTCCCCTCGGCTCTTCTGTTTTTTTTTCTTTTTATTCTCAGATTTGACAAACTCACTATTTTTGAGTTAAGTCGAGTTATAAAGTCCGAATTAG